GGGGCTGGCCCAGGCGCGCCGGCTGCAGGAATTTCTCTCCACTGCCAACTCCAGACAAATCCCTTTTATTTGCTACTTCAGGTTTTGATGCCGTAATTGCACCGTCTGGGCCAGCTCTCGAGAAAAAGAGGAAGAAAAGGAAACGAGAGCAAAGCGGAGCCCGGAGCAGCCAGGCTGCCCGGTCGCAGACTGGCCACCCCCCACGGGGGAGGGCCAAGTACTCCTTCCCTTTGGGGTCTGGCTTTTCGCCTCAGCTCGAGACCTCCCTCGAGCTGGGGCTGGGTAACCAGGAGCGGTCTGGCCCCCAGGGAGACCTGTGCTTTCAGCCCTGCGGGTCCTGCCATTGCTGCTGTTTTTGGGGGGGAAAGCGCCCCTTGGGTGTGAGCTCTGCCCCGGGACGCCCGCGGGAAAGGGCCCTGGCCAGCCTGCATGGGGGACGGAGCAGCGCAGCACAGCGCTGGGCTTGCTTCCCGCACTCCCCCAAAACGACTATTTGCTCTAAATCTCCAGCTCTCGGAGGCGGGTGGGTTTGCTAAAAAAAAGGGGAGCGTTTCCAGTGGAAAGGGAGGCCTCTCCTCGCCAGCCGTGCTCCTGCCAGGCACGGAGCCGCTCTGCCCCCTCCCCGCTGGCGTGACTGCGGCCGGCCAGGTGAAGATCCCACTACCGCAGGATGGCGGATCCCATCCTGCTGCCGGGATGCAGCCAGAGAGGAGCGTGTTTGAGGGCAAGCAGCTCCCTGGGGAGCACGTGGCTTCGCTGGGGAAGTCGCTGGAGCTGGGTCACGGCAGGGCTGGGCTCGGTCTGAACCGAAGGGATTGCACCGCACGGGGGATAGTCCGCCAGGGTCTGCGGGGCATCCCGAGAGCCTGCTGTTCAGCTGAGCACCCCCATCCTGATGTGGGGTGTGAGAAGGGCCAGGGGTGCCTGCAGGGGAGGGGGCAGGACCCATGGCAGGACCCGCCGCGAGCACTGGGACAGGCACAGAGCGCCTCAGCCCAAGAGTCCCTGCAAAGCAAGGCAAAAGCCAATGTTTTTGCACCGTCTCGCACCCCTAGAACAATCCTGGCAGATACAGGACAGCCAGTGTCAGCCTGTGTCAGCTTTGACCTACGTGTGTATTTTACTAGCATTAACTGGAGCGTCAAAATAAAGAGCTGCTTGGAAGGGAAAGCACAAAGTCAGGCTAAAAAGGCCAAAATGTTTCTGACCGCGTTGGTGTTTGGGCCACCGTTGTCCAGGGGGGCAAAGACAGTGGTGAAACCACAAACCTCTGATTTCTCAGATCACTACTTTGGGGGTTAAAAACTCAGTGGGAAAGAGAGATGTTTCGGCAACAAGTTCCCTTGGCCCTGGGGAGCCGGCGGGGCTGTCTCCTGCCCTGGGCGGATGCAGACCAGTCCCGGGGGTGACACACCGGGCGTCACCACCAGCGTCCAGCTGTCCTCCTCAGCTTCCCCAGGACCCTTGGCACAGGGCCCCCGGCGGCAAGGGGCAGCTCAGTGGGATTTCCCAGCAGAGCAGCCAAGAGCCGTACCAGCCAGCAGCCCCACGCACTGTCCCCCAGGCATAGCCAGCCCCTCAAGCCCCCACAGCACCCCGGCAAAGGCACATGTCACACAGTCCTCCACCCCCAAGAAGAAGCTCCTGTGCCGCGACTGTTCAGAGAAGGAGTTTCGGGCTGGGGGATGTCTGCTCCGGAGATGTTCCTGCACCCCCAGGAAAGGCTACCATGGGGCAAGGCCGGACTCTCTCCCAAACGGTGATCTCTGCAGCCGCCTGTCCCATTTCCGGGCTAGTAATAGTCCTCCTCGCTCTCCCCGTAGTCCTCGGGCGTCGTGTGGGGCTTCGGCAGGGAAAAGCCCGTCAGGTTGAGCTGGTCTGAAACAGCAGCGGGGGGACGATGGGACATTGCCCCCCTCGGGCCCTGCCCCCGCACAGCCCCACGGCGCCCCGCCCCGGGGCTGCCCAGCCCAGCAGCTCCCACCACCCCAGTGCAACCTGCCCATAGATCCCCTCCTTGTCCCTGTAAGAACGGGCTATGCTGGTGAGGCTGGGGGATGCCTCAGTTTCCCTTCTCCCTGAGCAGAGCCCTCCAAGCCCTTCAGCCAGGGAAAACCTATGCAGGAGAGCCTGCTGCAGACCCCCACGTAGCCCCATTGCCTCAGGAAGCCCCCGGTGAGTGGTGGGAAGGGATGGGGACAAGGGCACAGCGTCCCTGTGCTCACCCGGCGTGAGGACGGTCAGGGTGGCTAAAGCCACCACCTCCCCAACCTTGTTCCTGGCAAAGCAGCGGTAGGTGCCTTCATCCGTCACACGCACACCCTGGATCTGGAGCCAGCCGGTCACTTCGTATTTCTGGGGGCCGCCTCTGAACTGCAAGAGGAGGGGGCTTTCAGTTAGTCCCAGGGCTGGGAGAGCCCCGTGTGGGATTTCCCACCAGGCTGCATTGGGAGGGATGAGAAAGGTGATGCAGGTCCAGGAAAACTCTCTGTCCCCCGCTAAGCACCGCTCTGGGGGCAGGCATGGACCCCTGGAGGCAGACCCCCTCCTTCCTGCTGCCCAGGGCAGACCGGGTGAGGGGACACCTCACTGCAGCTGGGTGCAGCCTGCCGGAGGGTCCAGAATCACTTTCGTTGGGCAGGACCCCTATCGTGAGGCCCCCGGGGACATGCCCCAGGCACCTGGCTGTACCCCAGGTCACCGTGGTCCCCAGAGGGAGCAGCACCCTGAGGAGGGAGGACGCAGGGGCGGGTGCTCCGCTGCGGAGTTCAGTGTGGCCAGTTCCACATGGAAGAAACATCACTAAAGCACTGGGCAAAGAGGTCTCCAGCATCTTCCTCCTGCCCCACAAGTGCATTTCATGCCCACGTCCGTCCTGGGGGCTGAGACCAGGGTCCCAGCAGGGTCGGTCCCCACCAGCCCTGCTCCAGGGGCTGGGCAGAGCAGCAGAGCGACAGTCCCTTGCCAGGGCTTTAACAGCGAGTCAATGATCTAATGGTCCTTCTGGCTCTCGTCCTCAGACACAGCTCCGTCACTTGGACACGGCTCAGGCAAGGGCAGGACGTCCAGCCAGAGCTAGGTTACACCTAAAGGGTCGAGCTACTCTGCTGACGGGGTGCTGGGCTCTCCCTCCTGCTGGGCTACAAGCCAGGTCCTGCTGGCAACGTGCAAAAGCCACGTCAGCCAGTCAGAAAAGGCTGGGTTTGGGTGAGTGGGACAGGGCGTACAGGGCGGTGAGGTGGAGGGGGAGAGGTGGCCAGCCTCCATAGGCAAACTGGCAGAGGGACCTGCTGGAGAGAGGTGAGGTTCCCCTGCAAACGCTGCTGGGGCTTCACATGAGGCCCGGCCAGCTCTGGAAGAGCTCAGACTTCCCTGATTCGGGAGCCAGCAAGGTCCCAAGGCTGCTGCGGCTCCAAGCAGGCTATTTTCTGTTCGTCTCCAGCAAGAAATAACCTTTTCCTGACCCAGCTGGGCTGCAGCCGTGTTTGCAGGCTGCTATTACGGCAGAGGGTGGAGGACAGCTGACTTTCCTACAGCCTCAACACCAGCCAGCTAGCCCTGCCTGGAGAGAAGGTCCTTGGCCGGATGCTGTGATGGGGTACTGGGCAGCATGAAGGTCAGACCCAATGGAAGGGGACCGTCACATCCCTCCAAAATGGTGCTGGGTCCTGCCTGCTCCCCTGGCTCCCCGCATCCGTCTGACCACAGTTTCCTCCTCGCTGGTGCCTGGAAGCAGTGCACGGCCTCCTGCGCCTCTGCCCACACCCTCTAATAGCCGGGTACGGCCCAGCTGGCCACCTCCGGTGCTTCCTCTGTGCTATATTTGGGGTGAGCCACAGGCAAGGTTGCTGACCCTCTGGGTGTGCCGGCATAGGAGGGGAGCCGTGCTTGGAGTGGAGGGTGCAGAAAAGCACAGAGACTTTCTGAGCCTCCTTGCCAGATCACAGGATAATGCAGGTTGGAAGGGGCCTCAGGTGGTCCTCTAGTCCACTCCTGGAAGCGGGGGCATTGAATGAAGCCAGCAGGCAAAGCAAATGAAAGGCTTCCTCCTACAGATAACAACGCTGGGGAACTCCTTGCTGCAGGACACTCCTGAAACTAGGTGAGGTGCTAAGTTCAAAACCAGCTGGAGAAATTTGCAGAAGAAAGATACATTGATGTCTCCTCACCACACCAGCTTTGGCTCAGCCAGTCATCACAGTGCAGACTCTGTGGTCCCCTCTCTCATCCCAGACATTCAGGTCTGGCTACCTGCAGACGGTGACCATCCGGAGATGCTGGTTGCCCAGGAGCTCTTGGAAGGGCTCAGCCACCCTGGGACTGGGTCCAGGGCTCCAAGCAAGCCTCTTACCTGAACAGAGATGTGTGGGTCATCTCCTGGCAGCAGCATCTCCATGCCATCCTTCCTCCACTCGATGGACGCCATGGGGTATGCGAAGACCTCGCAGCCAAAGATGACGTCCTGCCCAGTGACGTTCCACGCGTCGTAGGGAGGAGATGTGATCTGAGGCTCTGAGTGATGAAGAGTGGAAGAGGGGTGAGATAGGAGGTCAGGGGGGCTCACTGAGACACCACAGCTGCAGTGGGGAGAAGTCCAACCACTTAGCCGGTCTCTCTGGACCTTGTGGGTCCCCTCATGGCTGGTGGTGCTGGTGAGCGGGAGACAGCAGAGCTTGGCACAGGCATCCCAGCGCGTGAGGGAGGATGGAGTCCATCCCGCTGGGCTGGTCTGCAGGGAGACAGGGCAGGAGGAGGCAGTATGCACCCCACGTTCGGCCCTGGACGGGCCTGGGGTGGGACAGCCAGGGTCACCTCTGCACCCGCTGCCTACACCCCTGGGCTTGCCAGCTCGCAGCCGCCAGGGGCTGTGCCACCGCAGGCAGGGTGCTC